TCGGCGGCGCCAAACCAAAGGCCGGCAGGCAAATGGGCGCTGGGCAATTGGCGCATCGAGCGGGTGGCCAAGCTCCAGATCAAGGCCATGACCATGATCGCGGATGCGCTTGCCGAGGCCGGCGATGATTCTGCTGAACACTGGTCGCTGGCGCAAGAGATAGAGGACGAAATCTACAGGGCCTGACTGTCCAGGACGCGAGCCGGTCAACAAGCACCGCCAACTGTGTCTGGGGCGTTATCTGGGTGTTCGAGTGCGCAGCGTGCACGCCAACCTCATCGATGCCAATGCGAATCCGTGCTCGTCGGCGTCGTGTCGCCAGAGCGGTTGGCCACCATGACGCACGCCGACATGTTCCCCTCGCTGCACGCGCGAACGCTCAAGCCCAAGGAGGTGCCAAGCCCAAGGCAGCCGCGGCATGTTCCGATGCAACAAGCGCGACTGCCACAGCTGGTTCACCACCTACTATCAGCTCCAGTCGAGCGCCGACGAACCCCTCACCACATTATTGCAATGCACTCAGTGCAATAATCGGTACAGATTCTGAGGCATCCGCATCCGCATCGCCTTTCCCGTCGCACTGCCGGGACGGTAGACGGGCAAACGATGGTTTTGCGCACCTTGGCGCGCCGTTCCACCGTTTTCCCACCTAAAAAGGTGGCCAATAGCTGGACCAGCTCACCTTGGCGGACAACGATGGAACGGTCCACCTTCCGGTCCGCCTCTGGAGCACCTTGATGGAGGGAAGACGGAACGTTCAAGTCCTCCTCGAGTGTACCTGGAGGTGGATGCAACGCGGCTCCACTCAGCAAGGTGGACGCGACCGCCACTTGGACGTTATGGAGGAGGAAAAGACGTGGTCGAATAGGTGTGTAAATCGTTTATATTCAAATTAACACAAGACTTGTGGAGCTGTGTGCATGGTGAGACCACTCTAGTGCAGCTGATATCAAGGAACATCTCCTGGCCCTGTGTCATGTCATGTTGGTAATGCATGTGAGGGTGCATTGTTATTATGAGGTGTGTGGCCATGAGAAGGGGAGTTGCATTAGTTGTTGGTCATGTTGTGTTGTGTCATGTTGTGGAGGGAAGTGTACTGTGCTGCTTGTAGCTGATGTAGATCTTGACATTCTTGTGTGTCATCCACAGTTGCTTGTATTCAAAGTCAAGGGCAATTGAGCAGTTTTCTTCCATGGGGTCCCACTTGATGTTGGTTGTGCCAGTTGCAGCCATGATTATGGTCTTCAAGGCTGGTTTCAGAGGAGAAGCCCAGTCTGGCAGATCACTAATGCACTGCTTGAGCTTGTCCTTACCAACCTACTTCAGGGCTGCCATGTAGCACACAACACCAGTTTGTGGAAACACTGTGCTAGTGATGGATGCAAGCCACTCTTGAGTTCCTGAACTCACACTCAAACATGTGAGTGGTGAAACAAACAAAACAAGAAAGAAAAGAAGCATACCATTGAGGACTCTAGCAGCCACTTGCAGGTAAGAACAAATGGAAGTAAATGTGGAAGGATGTTGCACAGTGGCATGGCATCAAGATGGTACAAATGTGTGAGTGATTGTGTTGTTTCTCTTCACATTAATCTGATTGTGATCCTTAACATGCCTGTATTGCCAATGGGATTGAGGGGGAGATCAACAACGTGTTCAAGGCTTTCCCCCTGTTTCCTGGCAAGCAGTCCTTCACCAATTGCATGCTGATTGTTAGGTGTAATGCTAATGTATGTATTGATTCTCCTTTATTGGTAACAGTGCTAACAAAACCATATGTAGGGAAAGTTGGTGGTGGCAGGGCTGACAGGAGGCGAAATGGACAGCTTCCTGCAAATCACTGAGCTCCTGTTCAAGGAGTGCATGAGCAATCCAAGGGAGCATGAGTGTTGGTGTATCCACATCAACATTGTTCACCTTCTGCAGCAAGAAAGCTTCACAGCCAATGATCTCAACAATCTCAAGAGGTTGACCAAGAGGTGGAAATACCTCATGGTCAAGCTCTACAGTGGCATTGCCAAGCGGCAGCAAGCAACAAACTCAAACAGGACACAACCCAAGAAGAAGTCATGCACTACCAAGCCAACCACTAACAGCAATGAAGCTATGATGACAATGACAATGAGTGAGAAGCTACTCAGCTTCAAATTTCCAAACTTCAACAAACTACAACACTGGTCTGAACTTCCTTGGTAACACTGTGTCCAGAAAAAGGTGATAGTGGTACTTTTTAATGAAACTAAAAACAGGTGTACATGAGATAAAAACACTGTGGAATTTGAATGTACACAGAGAAGAGAAGTTTTATTTACAGGTGTCTAAATATTTCTTGAAGGGTGGGTGGGGGAACTCCAGTGTTGGCGTTAAAGTCAAAGCCACAAGCTAAAACAGACCCCATTGGAACAGTGCTTTCTGAGCCATGGTCAGTCCAGTGTCCATTAGTGAAGTTCCACCAGTGGACATGGAGCCTCTTATGGAGAACGCTGATGATCTTGCATATCCAAAAGTCCTGAGTGTCTTCATCAGCATCAGCCCAGACAGCAACCCACTGACCAGGAGCAAAGTTGAAACGTTGGACTTGGGGTGTAGTCCGTGTGTGGACAACCTTGACCCTGGTTTGGAGACAGAACAATGGACCATCAAGGAGAGGATTAGTGATGGGATGAGCTGTGAGTCCATCAAAAATCAAGTTATCGCAGGTGGGTTGGGAGCTTGAAACAAGAGCCTCATGTGCTTCAAAGATATCAGCCCACTCACTAAGCTCAGACTCAAGGAACAGTGGAGCATGGCAGTTGTCAGCCAACTCAGTAAGCACTTCAGGTGGAAATTGCTGAGGTGGGATAGTGAAAGGTGCTCCTGATGTGGTTTGTGTAAGTTGTGATATCTTTTGGTAGGGTGTGTGCAACATAGTGAGGAGCAAACCAGTCAGAATGGATGTGAGAAGCTGGTATGGCTCAGAGTAGGCTCCTTGGGTGTGGTAGGCTTTGTCCTGGATCACTGGTTTGCCTGAAGCATCATGGAAAAAATGGAAAACATGGGGGGTGGAGTGACCAGTCAGGCCATGCATGTGATTTCCAAGCCAGCTCTTCCAGTCCCAAACAGTTTCAAGGGTGTGCAGGGAAGGAGCTGGGCCGGTGGATCGGTAAGCCTGCTCAAGAAAACCAGAAAGTTGACTGAAATTTGAAGATGAAGTTAGGAAGGTGAACAAAAAGGGGCAATCATTAATGCTGACAGAAAAAACCAATGTGCATCAGGAAGCACAAGCTGGTAGAGGAAGAGCGCAAGGAGAGGAAACACACACACCCAGAGGTGATTGACATGGACAAGGAGATGGAGGCGGAGGAGATCAAGACCAAGCCTCACAAGCAGCTGGTGGTGCACCAGTACTCCACAGGCAACACCAAAGAGCAACACAAGGAGGCCACCAGACTACTTGCCCTGCCCAACCTGGAGCTAGGTATGTACACTTTGTGTGTTTTTACTGTTCACCACACTGACAAGTTTCAAACTGGTGTGCATTGGTTTTTTTATTTGTGGACTCCTTTCCTGATGCACATTGGTTTTTTTATTTGTGGACTCTTTTCCCAATGTGCATTGGGTTTTTTATTTGTTGACTCTTTTCCCAATGCACATTGGGTTTTTTATTTGTTGACTCTTTTCCCAATGCGCATCAGTTTTATTTTTGACCTGTGAGAACCATGTTCTCTAACAGTTTGTGTTGCTGACCTCAACCTTACTATTCAGAAACGAAAATTCATACGCTCCTGAATTTCCAATCACTTCAGTCCAACCCCAACATTGTCAGTGCCAGCCTTCAGGTGACCTGCAATGACCAAGCAATTCGCCAGCAGAAGGAGCAGCTTGATTGCATCGACCCTTCAACTTTGCACCGTACCTGGGTTCAACCCACATCACACCACCTTGACGTTTGGAACTGCACCATCTTTGGTACAACTCCTCTTTTCGTTCTGGCAATGTGTAGATGCTTTCACTTGCTAACCACCTGCACTGCCATCAGAATGGCATCACCCAGTGACAGTTCCAGGAATTCATCACTTGCTGCAGTCTGTTGTGGATGGAGGGTGTCTAACAACCAAGCCCTTCATTGTTAGATTTCTTAATGAAGATGAGCGCCTTGACTGAAACAATGTTGATGAGTTTGGTATTACTTCCCACACCACTTTGTTTTAGCTGCACTCATGGCCATTCAGTTTTTAGGCTATTTGCAATTCCTGATGCGCATTGGTTTTTTTGGGTACTAACTTTTAACCTTCCAGAGGCCATTGATTGTAACCACAGAGTTGTGGTCTGGAACCTCGTTGAGCACTGGCAGTGGGAGAATGTCTATGAAGTTGTGCCAGCAGCTGCAGGGATGGAACTCAGCTGGATCATCCTTGACCACATCTCCAGCTTCAAGAACTACATCAACTTGGCAGGCTCAGTCGTCCTGAATGCTTTTGAGAAGGCCCTGAACTACTACACCCTTGGCCAAAACCCACTCTTCCAGATCACATGTGGCAAAAAAACTGTTACCAACTACAATGCTCTTGCTGAGCACCTGGTATGTCCACCACCTTTGTATTTCAAACCATTACTCATCACCCCACACCTCACAGAAAACACTTGAGGGTCATGCTGCACCAAAGCCCACCACTCTGCAGAAGTACTCGACTACCTTAAGGGCCCTGTTCCATGCTCCAGGAGTGGTGGAGTATGTTATTTCTACTCTAACTCTTCACCTTTGTTTTGAGTCCTTGCTAACTGTTCCCCTTTCCAGTCTTATCAAGGAACTCAATCACCTCGTTCCAGAGGGTCACTCCCCACAAGTCTAACTACTTCCCTCTTGCCAGAGAACTTCTGGTCACTAATCACCAACCACTGGAGCATGATCAAAAGGCAGATGGAGGCCTTTTGTCAGGCCATTCATGCAGCCACAGAGGCTGACTGCTGCTGTGAAGATCCTGAGGAGCTTCGCCACATCTGGGACTGGATCTGCATTGCAGAATACATCACACCACATGGTAAAAACATCAAGATAGAGCAGCCCCACAGCATCACCTCTGAAGTTGTTGACACGTTCCACAAGCACCCATTCCAGTTGAAACTTCTCAGTGATGAGGCAGAGGAGACCACACCTCACCAGTTATGAGGGGAGATTGCATGTGCCACCACAGCTTCTCAAGCAGAGGAGGCATCCCTTGCCTCAACATCCACAAGTGAACAGTGCTGGCGTCTTTCTGCATTGGCCAAGGGGAAAATGGTACAATCAACTCCTTCCTGTTCCAATTCACACCCCATTACTTTCACTTACACCACTATTATCTGACTTCAGCCCACGGTACCCACTGCCACTGAAGCTTCTGGCACCACTCCAACCACCCCAACCAGTACGTTTTCATTTTGCTGGTAAAGTTCCAAGCTCACCACATGCTTGTTCTTTACAGCTACCAAGAAACGTGGCAAGGGTAAGGCTGAAGAGGAAAAGTCGCCATCTACCATCAAGCACAAGGCAGAGCTTGCTCTCCAGAAAAAGTATCTCCCCCAATTCACCAAGCCGCTCACCAAGCTTCTTGGCCAACCAACACAATTCCATTCACCAGTGCATTTATTGGCCCACATTGCTTTCCTGATGTGCATTGGTTTTTTATTTGTTGACACTTTTCCCAATGCACATCGGTTTTTCACTTATTCCTGTTGTCCACTGGTTTTTTTCTTCCACAGGTGTTGATCTACATGCATGACTTTACCATCCACAGCACAGACATTCCTCTCAACATCAATGATGCAGCAACTCGCCTATTGAAGTCTTACAGTGTCAGATTCTACATCTCCTCATCTCCCTCCAACATCGCCAACGCCATCACCTCACTCAAGTCACACTCCACCCTCCAGGTCTTCCACCTACTCCACTTCTACTACAGCTCCCCAACTTACTCCAGCTCCATGCCCGCCTCTGAACCTCTTGTCAGTGGCTTTGATGTTCTCATCTTCAGCCACAAGAGGGTTAACATGTCCACCATCTGGCATCCTCTGGCCAGCGACACCATCCCTGAACCCTTCTGCTATCTGCACCACATCCCCATCCCACACCCAACACATGAGGTTGTCCACTCTGCTCCTGCTTTCCTCATCAGACTGCACCCCGCTTCACATCAGCCTCTACAGCTTCCTCATCCAGAGCTTAGAGCTTCCCAATCCTTCTCCCCACCCCATCACATCGCCCACCACCCCCTACCACATTCTCTATGAGGCAAATCCCACCTACTACCTCTCCTTCTGTGCTGCCCTTTACTCCAGCTTTGTCTGCCTCTCCTCTACCCCCATAGCAGAGGGCAACATCTCCTCTCTCAGCAACTGGCTCCTCACCTTCCACTCTAAATTCCTGGAGGAGTCAGATCTCACAGCCATCACTTCCTTCCTACAAGGCCTAACTTCACATCCTGCCCTTGCCCCTCTCACACCCAAGACCAGCTCCTCCTCCTCTTCTGGTCCATGGAAAGTGCGGAAGTCCATTGGCTAATGTTTCCCTCCACTCTGTTCTGTTCCTCATTCCAACAAAATACATTTGCCCTTTTTTACACTTATGCCTTGAAATTCTTCATTGGCCCCATCTGCTTTTACCATGACCTACACCATTTTTCCCTGTTTTGCCACTCTCTGTACATAATTTGCCAAAACCACTCACACACCATGTTCACAAAAGTACTGCTTTCACTGCACATACACATATATCACTTGTACAGATTTTACTTAACAAAAGGTGCCACTGGCACCTTTTTCCAGACACAGTGTTTGGTCCCCTGTGGGTACAGGACATGCACCTCTGGGAGCAGCGCCACCTTGCGGCCAAGATGACTGTGTGCTGCACCAACCAGATCAACACTGAACTTGCAATTCTTGTGAAGGTACAGTTGCATGTTTTCCCTTTGCTTTTTACTCACCTCTTTCATTATTCAGACACATCAAAAGGATGCTGTGGTTTGTCACTTGGCATATGCTGGGCTGCCCTCCATGAGCTCTGTGCAAGGTGAGTGCAAGGAGCCCTACATGCTCAATCTACATGGGATCAGTGATGGCTTCCTGGAGTTCCAGTTAAGTGAGCAATGGTTCTACCTTCCCTTTGGCTGGAATGGATGGACTGTTGCCAAGTGTGTCCACCTTGTGCTGCAATGAAGCTGTGTCATTTATAACCACTGAGTTAGATGGCACCTGGGTGACAGTTGGGCCATGCCTCTGCAACCCTACTGCTAGTGGCAATGATGATGACTGGTGATGAACCTGACCATCTATGAGGGCAACGAGTGATGATGAGCATGACCATCTATGAGGCTGATGGTGACCAGCAACGATGACTGATGATGAGCATGATCATCAAAGAAGGCGACCGCGACCAGCGACGAGCACCTACAAGCACGACTGCCAGCGCAGGTGACTAGCGACAACAAGCACAACCACCAGGGGTGGGCGTAGAAGACGAGGAACTGAAGGTGGAGGAGGGAAGAAGGTGGATGTGTGAGGGGTGGGAAGAAGACAGGTAGAAGGTGGACGATTGTACCTTTCACACAATACAACACTACATGTTGCAAGGTGAACAAAAGGTGGGCGCAGTGTGCCGGTTTTTGGTGGTTTTTTCCGCCTTTAAAAAGGTGGGAAAAATTAGTCTTTTTCCCACCTAACGTCGCAGTGCACATGAGCCAGCAATAGGCAAACAAATATTTGTGGGTGGAAAAAAACTTAATAATACCGGACAACCGTCGCGGATTATTTCCATACAACCTTGCATGGAGTTTACGGGTTCTTCCGTGTGGCAAAAGAGTGCGCACTCTTCCTCTTCTTCCCGCGAAGGCCGTTGAGTCTATTGATTTAACAGTTGGAACGAATCGGCATGAAACGACTCTTGGCTCTTCTGGGCTTCTGCCTGGCGATCTCTTCCTCCGCTACCTCGTGCAAGAGCGACGAACGTCTGGTCCATGACATCTCAAAGGCCGGCCCCTATGGCGGCGAGCTCCAGCTGACTCGCGCTCTCGCCCAGGCCCAGCTCGTTGCCACCATCCACGACCGGCTAGAAAGCGCCGGCGTGTGCTATTTCGCCACCAGCCGTACGCTGGAGGGTGTGTGGCGTCATGCCGCCGCCATGCCTCACCACTCGCACGCAGCGGACCTCGCCATCGAGTCCGCCAACTTCGCCCTCGCCCATCAGGTACCAAGATTTACCGCCTGGCAGTTATATATAAATTGAAGTCTTCCCAAAAATGGCGTGGGTACACGGTCTAAAAAAAACACTGCCACAACCATGTTTATTTTGAACCTTTGCGTTGCTGACGTCACGCCCACTCTTATATGTCATTTTTTGTAATTAAATAGGTTTTGCTTGCTGAGCTCGCTGCCAGCAGCAACTACATCGTGCAGGACAACAAGGACCTGGACCACCTCAAGGTGTCCATCGTCATCGATGGCGAGGCCGCCGTCCACGTCAACCTGTTCGTCTACTCGCGCTCCGAGGACGGCCAGCGCCTCGTCCACCCGTTGTTGTCCTACCAGCCCGCCATCGAGACAGTCTTCCCCACCAAGCTGGTATTCAAGCCCTGCCATCTTCTTCTTTCTTTTCATCTTCCTTCCCCACGCGAGGGCTGACTGGAGGATGTGTAAGGCTTCGTACTTCGAAGGTTCGATCCGCGTGCCGGCCGACACCAGGGCGTTCCTCTTGGGTCAGCACGGCAGCGAGCTCGATGCACCCAGCAAGGCCTTCTCGTGGACCCACATGTCCTACGTCGTCCCCCACGCTGGCATGACCAGTACTGCTAGCCCCTCTACTTGATGTAGTTTGGCACATGCAGGACTAATGATGGCTTGCTTTTGTGTTGCACAGCCGAGTTCCCGCTGGTGAGCGTGATCATCCCGACCTACGAGCGTCCTCAGTTCCTGGCCAATGCCATCAACCTCATCCAGAGGCAGGGTACTTCCCCCCAGGTCTCTTCTTTCGCTTTCGAGTTCTTTTGAGGTTCTAATTAATTATGAACTTTGTGTGGCGTTCAATAGACTACCCCAATGTCGAGATCATCATCGTTGATGACGGTCGCGTGCCGGAGATGGAGAACTCGGAGATGACCGCCGTGCTGTCAGCCAGCAACGTGCGCTACATTTACATGACCGAGCGCATCTCGATCGGCGCCAAGCGTAACATCGCCGTCGCGCAAGCCACCGGCGAGGTCGTGGTCCACTGGGACGACGACGACTACTTCCGGGAGCACCGTATCTCAGCCCAGGTGGCGCCCATCATCCGTGGTGAGGTCGACATGACCGTGCTCGAGCACCACTACTACTACATCCTCTCCACCCAGTCCTTCTACATCATCAAGCGCGCCGCCTCGTGGGGTCCCCACTTTGGCACCTTCGTCTACCGCAAGGTAATAACCCAGCAACCAAACCCATATGACCCTTTTAGGGTTAAATTGGTTGCTTGGATACTGATTTCCATCGAAACACACAGAGCCTGTTCGACTGCGGTATCCGTTACCCTGACAACTCTATGGCCGAGGACTACGCCTTCGCCGAGTTCGCCCTCAAGAAGGGTGCCACGTAAGCGTGTCTTCTCATGAAGTGCTACAGCTACTCATTCACTCACTTTTCTCACAATCGTGTAGTGTATCAGTGATGAACAACGAAGACGGCAAGCACGTGTACGTGCGTCACCACAACACGTGGAAGTTCGATTTCGCCGACTTCGATGTGCAGGTGGAGAAGGTCGATCGTCCCGGGTTCCTTTCCGATCGCGACTGGGAGCACTTCTCGACCGTCAAGTCAGAGCCCATTGTCACCCAGCCCCCCAACTACTACGCGTAAGTCTTTGGCCAACATGAATTTGTAAATTACTTTTCTTTTTTAACTTTATTTCAATAGGTCGGCCCTTCTTCAGTGGGATCGCCCCGAGCTGAGGCCCACTTGGACGGACGCCTCCTACCTCGACTACCCTCACTACCCGCTCTATCCACCGATCCCTTCAGGTCTGGTCGTGGCCGAGTTTAACCTCACCGTTCCGGTGGTTACCATAAGTCAATCAGGTGCCCACCGATCAACCAATTACTTGGTCTCTTCACTGACCGAGCTGGCTGTGATTAGGAGGAGAGGCGACACAACAGGTCATCGACCTCAACCTGGTGAGTCTGGAAGAGATCGACGATGCCACAGCGCTGCAGGACATCGATCTTCAGACTGGTACATGCCGTTGCTTGTCAGCAGCAACTCGCCTCTTGTAATAACCTGGTGGGTGTGCAGTGGGCTGGATGATGGAGCAAAACAATGGCTCAGCACCAGGTGGCGATATCACCGAGACCATCTTCACCAGCCATCTCGGCACGGTGACCAGTGGAGCCAACAATGCGACAATCCAATACCTTTTTAACACCTTTGGCTCGGACGAGCTCATCACCACCGGTACGTTCGTTCAGCTTGTTGTAATAGAGTCTCTGCCTCTCTGAGAGCTCTCCCCAATGGACTCCAGGGAGCAACTACTCGTTCACGGTGACGCCAGCGTTGCTCAAGTTTTCGCTCAACGTCGCCTCGTGGAAATGGAACTCTACGTACAAATACTCTCCGCGCTATTGGTTGTTGTTCACGCCATCTGAGCGGAGCTGACTCCTCTCCACTGCTAGGTCGGGCAAGCTGCGGTTGACGATCAAGATCGATCCCCCGTTCGTGAGCTTCACCCGGTGGGATGACACGCCGCAGGTGGGCATGACCACGTTCCTCTTCTCGAGCGCCACGGCCGATCAGGCCAGCACCGTGGTGCGTCTGCTCAACTTTGGCGAGGCTTTGGGAGAAAGCCCGTCGCGCGTGTCGATGGAAGCTTCGGCAGAGGTCACCAGCTCGTCGCTGTCCCTCACGTTTGATCACTTTAACGACACTCTCTCGTTCGACCCAGGTAGGCGGTGCCTTGCGTGTTATTCATGTTGTTGGGTGCTGACGATTTGGTGGGGGGGCAGATATTGGACTGTTGCTGGGCAGCCACGGAGGAAGTGGTCAAGGGGAAAGCAACGACAACTTGGGCCTCATCATCGGCGTGTCCGTGACGATACCACTAGCTCTTGCATTCGTCGTGTTGTTCATCTCCGTGGTGTCAGTGGTGGCTGTGCTCAAGCGCAGAGCGGCGCGAGCCAGGAGCAGAGGAGCGATTGCCTTTGACGCTTCCCTCAACAGTGACGATCAGCTCTAGAGGATGTCAAATACAACACCTCCACCCTCTAGTGTTAGGGCTGTGAGCTACCCACGAGTTCCCCGCTTGGTGACGCGCCCGTCCAAGAGTGCAAAGTCCAGCACCACCATGTGGAGCGGCAGGCAGTTGCAGGTGGCAATCCTAATCTGCACCGTGTACAGTCCTCGTGCATCTTAGTGCACAGGCCGGTCTCATTCCCCGAGGAAGACTCGGAGTTTATCGAGGTCGACCGCGCGGTCATCATCAACCCGATGCACTGGCCTCGGGCAATGTAGACGTTGTCCTCTTCGTAGACCTCGAAATGCTCGGCCTCGGATCGAGGGAACCAATCATGGACGGTATCAAACTCGATATTTGCCCAGCCGCACGTCTCCGTCGGATCGGCGGGACACATGTCGAATCGCGTGCTTTCGCATACGGTGCTCGAGAGACTATGCATTGTATTTATGGGTGGTCTTTGATCCACAATATTGTACCTCCCATTCACCTTGGCGATGTTCAGGCACACCGTTCAATTCCATGAGAGTCCACTGGCATGCAGCCATTGCAGCTAATGACCGCACTGGCGTTGAGCATGTACGTTCCATCATTGGCTGGAGATGCCATCCACCTGGCCTGAACATTGCACACCGCGAGCTTGGCGACCCGCCAGCCCGTCCACAGATCACCGAACCTAAGCAGCCTGCCAGCATGCACCGCAATCGGCACGACAAAAATGAGGGCACTGTATTCGTTCTCCTCGCCTGTCCAATCTTCCTGTGTGTGTGTGTGTGTGTGCGTGCGTGCGTGAGTGCGTGTGTGCGTGCGTGCGGTGTGTGTGTGTGTGTGTGTGTGGCGGTGCGTGTGCGGTTGCGGTGGTGCATGTGCGGTTGCGGTGGTGCATGAGCTCAGAAGACGTGCTGGTAGGTGCTCAGCCAAGCAATAAATGGGTGGTGGCGTACGGGGAATAGATCCAAGGCGCTCTGGAAGCCACCAATGGCCTCCTCATCGGAGAGAACAGCGGTTTCGGCGTAGAGCCGCAACGCGTCTAAAAGAAAGAAAGCAAAAGACGTGTAAGCACTCTGCACCTCGTCGTCGTCATCGTCGTCATTGTCATCATCATCATCATCATGCCTCGTGAGTGAGACGGTAGGCAGTGGTACCTGCCAAGGTCGATCGTGCATCCGCTCTGATATCATCTTCGCTGGGCGTTGTTGAAGGCTTTTTCTGAAGTAATCGAGCGCTTGCTCGTACCAATGCCTCAGCCCTGAACGAAACGCCCAAGCATATTCAACTAACCGGCACCACACAACTCACTCACGCAAACACACGCGCAAACACACCACACACCACACACCACACACCACACACCACACACACCACACACCACACACCACACACCACACACCACACACCACACACCACACACCACACACCACACACCACACAGACGACTGACGTACGTTGGCCCAGTGAGGTAGGTGGCCGCAGAGCGTTCCCCCGCATCTACCCAGTGTTTAACGTACTTGCGCTCCACTTTCCTGTTGTCCAGGGCCTCCATCAGTCTTCAACACACGCGTATCCATCGTACACGCACACACCAAAATAAAGTGCCTGCTTGCGAGAGATAGAGAGGAAGCAGCACCACCGCAACCAGAACACGTGCTTCCATGAAGATACACCGCGCACCAGAGGCAAATCGCTCCTGTACTCCCGTTCGCCCGCTGCCGAGGCCGTCCATTCAAGTCCGTAGAGTCCGCCGCCATTGTCTGATGGACATGTTTGGTTGGTTTGGGCGAAACTTGGGGCGCTACGCGTTTGGGGGGGGGGCAGTTATATAGCGAGTGACTGAGTGGATGTCGGACAGTAGAATAGGAGAGATGGTGTTGTATTGTAAGAGTGAGACAAATAAACGCTTTGAGCGTTACAGATATTTATATGTGTGTGTGAGTGTAGCCGAGGCTATACCACTTGTCATGGAGACAGTGGCCATAGCTACGGACCATTTATATGGATATGTTGCCGTGGACTCGGCCACGGCAACTCGACACCATGGTGACGTTGGTCACCAAGGTGGTGTATCGACTTGTCGTCAATAAGTTACGAGTCGGGGTCGGCCAGGGCGAGGAAGAGACGCGAAACGCAGCGCGAGATGAGGAGGTCGCGAGGGTCGTCGAGGAACCACACGCAGTGCTGCAGCACTTCCGCTGGCAGCGCCTCCAGCCGCGTTTCCATTTATGTCTTTTTTTAACGGAGACAAAAATAAGGAAAAATAAAAAAGAGACACTTTTTTGCAGACACTAATTAATAACTCAAACTCTGTTGGGCACTCTGCAGCAAGATGGACGAGTTGTGGCGGCAAGCTGGCACGCTTGCCTCGTCCTTGTGCTCTTTCATCCTCGGCTCCTCACCATCTTGCAATTCCTTTTTTTCATCTTCATCTTCGTCTTCGTCCTCGTCTTCTCGCACAGCACCGACGCCCACCCCGCGGCCTCTGCCCTCGACCTCACCCTCCGTTTCTGCCCCCCGCACTGAAGATGAAACTCCCTGGCACCGCCTGCACCTGCTCTACTCCTCCATCTCTGCACATCTCACCTCCTGCGCATCTTCGCCCTCGGCCTGCCTTCCTTCAT